CCTCATGGGCAGCAGGAGGGTTCCTCCTGGATGTTTCTCCCGAAGATGCTCTTTAAGTGGCATTTATTCGAGCACAAGCAGGAGCTAAGAAAAGTCACTTGGCACCTCTCGTGTTCGAAATTCAAGGAAACCTGTGGGGGAATTGACTTTAATAACTGTCTCCGTTAATTAGACAAGGACTCGCCCCGAAAGAAGTAATTACTGGGAGACAGGCAGCTTTTTTTGCTTGGGCGCTGGCGGCCTCTCGAACGGGTCTAGAAGCTGTGAGGTGCCATCCTCTTTGGAGACTTGGTGGCTGTGAGTTCTGCCCAGGCTTCCAGCCCCTTTGGCAGGACTCTGGTCACCCTGGGAGGGTAGAACTGCTTCTCGATGCCAACGAGATTGGGTGCCCCGTGCAGCTAACCAGCCAGGAGGGGTGGATCTCTTGATGAACTGACTCCAAATTTGTCCTCCCAGAACCCCTTTGCCCTATTTTGTTCATGAACCAGATTTCACCTTTGATGTTTTTTTTTACCATCCTTCTGCTAAGATCTCTAAACACTCTTTAGTTCTCTCCCTCTCTGCTCCTCCCTGCCCCCTTTCCCTGCCCCGAAATAAACCAGGGTCCTCATGGGGAATTCTGCTGGGAGTGATGGGAGGAGCACTCACCACCTCCTTGGATGTGGCACAAATGGGCAGGGGCAGGTAACAGACCCGACACAGGGTAGGTGCTCAGTAAGTGGCAGCTGCCCAGCCGGTGCGGCTCAGTGCTTGAGCACCGACCTATGAACCAGGACAGGACATCCCGGTTCAATTCCCGGTCAGGGCACATGCCTGGGTGTGGGCTCGATCCCCAGGAGGGGGCGTGCAGGAGGCAGCTGATTCCCCTCAGGATTCTGACGCGGAAGAAAGGTCCGGGAAGCAGCTTTTAGCAGAAAGCAGCGGCGGGTGGGTCTCTCCCGCTCAGCTCCGTTTCTGGTGGTCAGTTACAGCCTCCAGGAGCCACGTGCAGGAGGCTCCTCTGTCCTGCGGAGGGAGGGCATGCCAGACCCCGCACACCCTGCAGCCTCTGCCCCCAATAGTGGAACTCTTCCTCCCGGGGCGGAGGCTGGGAGAGATGGGAGTGGGTGCCTCGCGTCTCCCAAGTGGAAAGGCGCACCTTGGGGCAGCACGTGTTCCAGCTCTGAGCGCCCCAGGCTTTGGCAGGGCCTTGCCTCTCGGCACTTCCTGTGTGTGCCGCGCGGGCCCTGCGCTGGAGCAGACAGGCGGCTAATGTGTGCCCTCTTCCTTTCCAGTGGCCAGACTGAAGGCACCGTTCCTCAAAATCGAAGATGAGAGCAGGTGAGTGGGGCTCCTCCCTGTCCCCTCACCCCCACCAGGCCCACACGGAGGCCAGGTCCCAAGCTGACGTGGGGTCATGGAGCCCCTCAGCCCTGCGCCTGTGTCTTCCCGGAAGCCACTTTCTCCCGTCGTGGAGAAGTCTCGCATAGACCGGGGGAGCCTCTGAGGGCGCACTGCACAGCCTGCACTCCCCTTGGTGTGAGCCGGAGGTTAATGGCCCTGTGTGTGAATTACCTCCTAATGCTCTGCTTTTATGATCTCATTTGCTCCTAGGTGTATGCTGACACTTGCTATCGAATGGTTGCTAGACCCAGTGCAGGGCTAGGGCAGTCATCTCGGCTGAAGTGAGGTGCTTGGGGTGGTGCTGGGACTCCCTTGCACTTGAAACCCTTCTGTTTTGCATGCAGGGCCCTCTCCTGGCACGTGCGTCTCATGACCACTCTCAGTGGGAGAGAGTCCATCCTCTTCCTAGTGGGGAAACTGAGGGCAGAGAAGGGAAGGACTTGCACATTCCCACTTTATTAATGAACCTCAGCTGAGGCTAGATGCCAGGTGTCCTAACTGTGCCATCCGGCACCCTCTCCACTCTGCCCTGTCCACCATTGGGGCCCCTTTTTACCTGGAGCGGTAGAGTCCATTGATGATAACCTGATGAACTGTTAGCCACCTGGGTTAGCGCTGACTCTTCAATAAGTACTAGATCAAAGTCCATGTGAATCTATAATTCTCTCAAAAGAAAAGGGTTTTGAAAAAAGAAAAAGCTCATCTGGACCTGGGACCAGAATTTTCTGGGCCCCTCAGCCTCATGTAGGGCAGCTGGAGACCCAGCCCCGGGAGCCTGGCATGCCTGCCCATCCTCCAGGCCCTGCACACAGTACAGGCATGGTCTTGGTGGCCCAGAAATGAGTGGAAAGAACATAGGGATGGCAATGAGGTGCTGTCTTGTCCAGTTCCGGTGGGATGGGGTCCATACCTGTCAATCCCGGCCCCTACAAGCAGTTAAATAGAAGTAGTCATGACTCAGACGGCAGCTGAGATACTGTCAGTGCCTCAGGATCTCCCTGCACGTGGCAGGCACAGGTGATGCCACTGTCACTGGAGGGGGTACACGTACTTGCGTGCCCCTAGCATCATGGGCAACAGAGGAGATCCGGGCGGAGCTGAGGTTTCTTGTGATTCTTTTGATGTGCTGTTCTGAACCAGGAGCTCTTCAAAGCCTCAGAGCCTTTCCAACCTCAGCATCCCAGCCTCCTAAGCAGGAGCAAAACAACTCTGAAGAGAAAGAAATGGGGATTCAGGGCTGTGGAGAGCACCCTTTTCCCTTTAAGGGTCCAAGAACTCTTAATTCACTCCTGAGGCCAGAGGGCTCTCACAGTACCACCCAGGAACCATGGCCTGCACTCCCCCTGGAGCACAGGCCGTGGCACCAAACACGGGGTGCCCGCAACTCTATCACGGGGTTTGCTGAGTGTCCACACATGATCAGATCTGGCTCCGCGCTTGAATGTGAGCAACCTGAGGCAGAGCACCAAAACCACCCAGTACCCTGACTATCCGGGACCTGCACTGGGCCCCCTTTCTGTCAGAACGCTCCCCTGCAGAGGGTGCCTAGGACCAGCCCAGAGCAAGTGCTGCTCTTAGTGGAGCAGGGAAATCACTGCCGTGGTTCAAACATCCTTCCATTTGGATTCTGTGAGGCTGGAGTCCCCAAAGATGGTTCTAGGGTCGAGAAACAATGGAAGGGTCGGGAGATGTGGCTTCCGGTCTGGCGTTGGCCACATACGAGCTGTGAGCTCTTAGGCAAGTTCCTGAACCTTTTGGGCTTCATTTACCCCACTTGTTCCACTCAGCTCAGAGCTCGGGGTGGCTGTAGCATTCCGATGAGGCAGTAGAAAGTAGACAAGGAGAGCATAAGTATTCATTTCACCTAGTAAGGCTGATGAGAATTTTGTTCTAGAACCTGAAAGATGTGCGGGTGAGAGCCCACTTTATCAGGAATGGAACTCCAGGGAGTTGGGCTGGCACCCCTTCCTCACCCTTTCCCTTCCCCACTATAGTCAAAGTGGAAGTTTTCTGTGTTTCAGGAAGTTTCGTCCTTTCCACCATCAGTTTAAATCCTTTCCTGAAATTTCTTTTCTGGGACCCAAAGATGCAAGTCCCTTTGAGGCCCTGACGATCCCGGGCAGCTCGCGCCATACCAGGTGGGTCTTTCTGGTTCCTGATTAACAAGGGCTGGTTACAGGCCGAGGTCCTTCCCCTCGGGGCCTGCTACTCAGATTTGGGAATGGCCATGTGTCAGCTCCTTAGGCAAAGTCTATTCTGGGAACTTAGCCCAGAGGAGAGAGACACAAGGAGAGTTCATTCATTTCACTTGGTGTTCTCCAGCCCTGCTGAAGAATTTGACTGGTGTCCAGAGGACACTTGGCTGGTTTCTGAAACTCAAATCTATAGACCACCTTCAATCAGAGCCCCCTGAGGTCCCATTAAAAATGGCTTCTGGACCCCACTTCACCCCTACAGAGTCACAGTCTCTGATTATGGAGCCCCAGAAGCTGCATCCTCACCAGCTCCCTGGGCGGTCTGATACCATCAGAGTGGCTTAGAGGCTTATCGGTATTCCCGCTCTGCGGATGTGTGGCGTGAGCCTTCACTGACCAAAGTGCGGAAGAACGCGGCTTGGTGCAGGGTCTAGATGCCTTCTCGGACCCTTTCTAGTTTCTGGGCCACAGAGTTGTTAGTTCATAGACCAGGAGAACAGGCCAGAGCAGACTCAGGCTGAGAGGACCCGGGGCCAAGGAGAGCCTGCAGTTCCCACCAGCAGACAAAGGAAGTAGTGCAGTGGGAGGAAAGAGGATGGAATGCGGCAGTAGGCAGAGGGAGGAAGAAACAGTGAGCTGAGGTGAAGCTCAGGTGCCCTTCACATCTTTCCTAGAAGGCGCCAGGGATACCAGAGAAAGCCAGGCAGGGGGCTGCGGGCTGGGCTGGCAGGTGGTGCTAGACCCGAGATGGCCTGGGAATCGCAGAGCAGCCGAGATTGTAAAAGGAAGATGGTGAAACAATGAAGCTTTGGAACCTGCACATGAGAAGCATACGGGGGACTTTGGCCAGGGTTCCGTGTGTGTGTGTGTGTGTGTCTGTGTGTGTGTGTGTGTGTGTCTGTGTCTGTGTGTGTCTGTGTGTCTGTGTGTGAAATCTGGGAGGAAATGTTTAATTTTTTAAATTTAAAAGTGATTATTTTGGCCCTGGCCGGGTGGCTCAGTTGATTGGAAAATCATCCCAATCAATCTCTCTCTCTCTCTCTCTCTCTCTCTCTCTCTCTCTCTCTCTCTCTCTTTCTCTTTTTCCCCGCCCCTCCCTCCCTCTTTTTCCCTTTCTCTCTAAACTTATCCTTAGGTGAGGATTAAAATATAAAAGATTATTTTGGTTCAAAATTCAAGCATTACAAAGGGTTTAGAGTAAAAAGTCTCCCACCACCATCCTCTAATCTCCAGATCATGGGTCTCTCTCCAGAGATGGCTTATGTGCATAGAAGTACATCGTGTCCTTTGTTCCCTCTTCTCACATAAAGAGCAGCCTAATATTTGCCGTGCTCAATCTTGCTTTTGCCACTTTATCTTAGATTAATTTCCTATTAGTACCTGAACAGCATCCTTATTCCCTTTTATGGCTGTAGTGAATAGTCTTTTTTAAAGAAAATTTGATTGTTTAAGTATTTTTGCAGAGTAAATTCCTAAAAGTGGAAATGCTGGGTCAAAGGGTGCCTGCATTTATAATTTTGCTAAATGGCCAAATTGCTTTACATGGAGATGATGCCAGCAGCCACTCTGACCCCCACCCCCCTTGGAGAGAGCCTGTTTCCACATCCCCGTGGCTAATACTGAGAGCTGTCAGGCCTGTTGGTTTATGCCAATCTGATAGATTCAAGACCGTGATCTCGGTGTAATTAGAATTTTCATGTTTTTCTCTATGAATGAGGTTCGGTCTGTTTTGTTTGATCATTTGTATTTCTTTCTGTGCATCTTCTGCATATCATTTGCCCATTTCTCTATTCAGTTATTGATCACTTTCTTATGGATTTGTAAAGAGCCCTCCATGTAGTAGGGAAATGAGCCCTGTGCTGTAGTGTTAGTTATAAATAACACGGACCCCACTTCGTCCAGTTTGTGGGTTGTCTTTTAACTTTGCTTGTTTTCTGCTGTGCATACATTTTTTAAATTTGCATGTAGTTAAATTTATCAGTTTTTTCCTATTTTTTTTCCTGTGTTTCCTGGGTTTTGTGTCATACTTAGAAAGTCCTTAAAGGAGGATATTTTAGATTTGTTGAGTTTGCCCATAGCAATGGCCCACCGGCCATTAGAAAAACGGGATTGAAATTCAGACAAGGAGTCAGGTTTGAGAAAGAGATTTGAAAGTCCTCAGTTAAGATGGCAGCTGTGCAAGGGACAAGTAAGCATGAGGGACAGACCGACTCAGGGGGAATTTAAGGTGGAGGAGATCAGAGGCAGTACAGCCCCCTTGTTACTGTGGAGGCCTGTCCCCTTCATTTTTAGGGCAAATGAACGAGGGTTTGGGTGTGAGCACAGAGCTGGAATTGCTCTTCCAAGGATTCTCGCTGTCAGCCGCCACCTGTTCTCACCTGTGGTTTGAGATGTGTGGGCGGAGAAAGGGCAGAGCTAGGACAGGGTGCCCATGGGAGGTCTCATCTTCCTCGTCGCCGCTCCTGCCACCCTTGGACAAGTGGTGCCAAGTGTAGGCAGGCCTGCCTGCGCCTGCCCAGCTCCGTGGCGGTTTCAGCTCATCTCTCTGGCCTGGGCTCCAGGCCCTGGAGCAACAGTTCTGCTCCGAGGGCCCCAGCAGTGACCCCTTCCCCCCTCCCCTCCTCAGAGGACCCAAGGACCGAGAGCCCCGCCCACGATCAGCCACCCGCACCGCACTCAGGAGGAAGAAAGGTTACTGCGAGTGCTGCCAGGCGGCCTTTGAGGAGCTCCATGGGGTGAGCCCCTTCCCACCGAGCACCTGCTTCCCAGACTGTTCGGGGAGCCATTCCTGCCCCATCTCCCTGGTGTGGCTGGAGGCCTGCTGGCATCCTGCCCCTGCCTAACGCCTGTGCCTCCTCTCGCCCCCTGACAGCACCTCCAGAGTGCCCAGCACCAGGGCTTTGCCCTAGAAGCCCACCCGTATGCAGAAGTCGATCGGATCATCGCCCAGCTCAGCCACAGCTTTGCGGAGATCCCCTTCCTCGCCAGCCTCCCCAGGTGAGCCTTGCTGCCGCCCTGCCGCGCGGGGGTGGGGGGGTGGGGGGGGACATGGCTCCGCCCTCACTCCTCTGATGCTGCCTCTCTAGGTGGGAAGGAACCTCAGGTTGGTGGCAGCATGGACCAGGCTATGCTATTTTCTCTTTCCTCACCTTCCTTTCCAATCTCCTATATGGTTCACTTTAGATGTGAGTGGTGGGAGAGACCTCCATGTGTGTTTAGCCAGTTGGGTTGGAGCCAGACCAGACGCGGCTCCCTCCCTTCCTGAGCGTGAGCCCTGCCGCAGCTGTGGGGGCTGAGAGAGCGTTCAGCCGTCACACTCCCGGTCATGTCTGGTCATGTGCCTGTCTGGCCGTCTACAAGAATGGAGCGGGGACTCTGGGTGGGTGAAGAGCAAGTCTTTCTGCCTCTAGAAGTTATCCCCGGAAAGGGATTTCAGGGGGTTCTGTGGAGTTCCAGGTTTCTCCGAGCTTCCACCAAGGAGCCGTGGCTTCCCCTCTCAGCCCAAGTCTCCACCTCAGCCTCACTTCCTGGGCCAGCTTGGACGGCCAGGCTCTGTGCTGCCTCCTCCAGCTGCCAAAGGGCACAGCCTCCTCTGGGAAGTCATTCAATGGGACAGCCTCTAACTTCGGGCCATCCCTGACCACAGGCCACAGAGCCCAGAGGCGTGCAGACAGCACTGGCCACTGCTGCCGGTCAGACCCAAAGAGCAAGCGTTTCACAGGGCCCCAGAGCAGGCAGGTCTCTTCAGCACCCTAAACCCCAGCAGGGTAGCACCATGCGTGCCCCACCCTGCCCGCAGCCCGGCCCGGGAGGACCCCAGCTTACTGCCTGCTTTGGAATTGAGCCTGTGGCCCACAGGGTATGTCTGTCCCCACAGGCAGCCAGGCTCCCCGGCTTCGGATCGTGACCCTCTGTCTCCTGGGACGGTGCCTCCCAGCCAGCCCTCCTATGGTGGGACAGCATCTCCCAGGAGGAGGAAGGAAGACGGCCCCCAGACCCCCAGCATCCACGAACAGGATGGGCTGGTGAGCGGCAGGAAGTCACCAGCTGAACGTGTGGGGGCTGGTGAGATGCTCGGACCGGTAACAAGCTGCCAAGACCTGGGGGGCTCAGTTGATGTTGTGGACCCCCCGGGGACAGTGCTGTCCAGAAGCCCTACTTGTCGGTGCCTCCTGACCAGCTCTGAGTTTGCGGACCTCTCCCCTGGCCCAGAACCGGCACGTGTCGGCCACAAGCGGAAGGTTCAGTTCCCCAGTGGCAATGCCGAGAAGAGGCCAGGGGTCTCCTGGCCACAAGCCTCACTCTCTGTCTCCAGAGCCCTCAGCCCCTGTGGCACCAGGACAACTGATGGCTGGCATCTCTCCTCCCTTCCCCTTCCAGGCCCCGAGTCCAGGCCTCTGACCTCCCCCCTGCCCTTGTGCGACCCACAGACCAGCCTCTCCCTCCCAGACCCCTTGCCCTGGCAGCCCTCAGACAGGCCAGCAGAGCTCTGGGCCGCACAGCCCACCTGGCCCGGCGGAGGGTGTTCCCCAGGATCTGAGGGTTCTGAGGGTGCAGCCCCTGGCCCCGGCTCTCAGCAGACTGACCAACTTCCCAGCTGCTCGGCAGCTCCAGGCCAGCTGTCAGCCCACCTGCACTCAGCTGCAGGCACGTAACCCCCAGGGGGGCTGCAGAGAGCCAGGCTACCTCCCCTCCCTCTGCCTGCCAGCGGGGGAGCCAGCCTCTCCCAGCCCCCTGCCTCCCTGTGTCCCAGCACCAGCAGCAAACTGCTCCTGTGAGTCCTCTGGGGCACGCAGCTCTTCATGGGGCCGGACAGCTCCCAACTCGAGGGCCAGGTGCACAGATATAAGTTATACCCCTGCTGATTGCTGCTCACCCAGCCAGGGCAGCCCAGATAACAGGAGCAGCACACCAGGGCCTCCCTTGTGGAGCCAGAGGAGCCCGAAGCCTGGCTTTGGAAGTCCAAGTGGACAGCTGTTGTCATGGCCAAGTGCAGGGTGGACACATCGAGTCCTCCCACCCACCCAGTCTTCAGGTAGAACCAAGAGAGTCAGCTTGAGGGCCGCCCTCTCTTACCCAGATCTCCAGCCATGATCCTGACTGGGCAGTGACCTGTGATGGGCTAGTCCGTCCATAGCCAGCTGCCCACTTGCCAGGAGGCAGAGGCGAGGTTGGCACGGGAAGGGATGACAAAGAAGCTGGAGCAGCAGGACCCTGGCCTGGCTTCCTGCCCCTCGCAGAGCCCAGGGTAGGTGTCCCCCCCCTCCTTTCTCACAAGCATGTGGCTCTCTCCTGCTTCCCAAAAGCCTGTGTTTGTGTCCCCGCCCCCAGCACCCCACGCTGTGCACACAGATCTCGGGAACATAAGAAGCAGAGGAGGGCTCGGCTGCTGCACTCACCGAGCTCTCTCCCTGCACTCGGAGTGGGCCCAGCACCGACCTTTCCCCTGAGCCCAAGATATGGCCAGATGCCCCTCTGGGGACAGACCCCTCTCGGCTCTTCCCTGCCTCAGTCTGGGCTGCCCACCCCGGGGCTCACCTGCCAACGTCTCCATCCCCTACTTTCCTCCCTCCCCGAGGACCTCCCCCCATTTCTTTTCAGCTGAGCCATTAATCTGGAGATGGGGATGAGTTTGCTATCGATTTTTTGGCCACATTTTTTTTATTACATTTTGTACTGTGGTTCCTCTCACCCTTCTCTGCTTCTGTGTGTTTGTCTCTTTAAATGTCGGAGCTACCAGAGCCTGGTGCTATTCTGTTCTCATTTTGGAGGAAGAAGTGGGGGCCCAGCTGCGGGTGAGGACCTGAGTTGTTAGTTTGGAAATAGAGCAAGTGTGTGTGTACAACCCTCACAGAGGTCATGTTTGGCCTTTTTATGCCATTCCTGTTAAATTTCACAATTAATCTTGATTCAGGAACTGTAAATAAATTCGTTAATAACAAATAGCTAAGAGGTGGGGCTGGAGAACAGGGTTGGGCCTTCCTCTGCCCTCCAGCGACCTGAGGCCGGGCTCAGGGCCCAGTTGATGGGACAGAGTAACTGGCTAGCAGGACAGGAGCCTCCTGCACGTGAGGGAGCCTGTGTGAGTGCCCGCTCCCCAGAGGCCTCGCCCCCGAGGGCTGAGGGCAGGTGGGCCTGCGTCTGTCAGTCTCCGGTCACTCACTCAGCTCTGCTGTTCTCTGAGTGGCAGCCTGGAGCGGGCATGCTCAGCACCCCCTCCCCGGGAACCTTTGCTCTGCCAAGGACCCTGCTAAGGGCCCTCTCCCCTTCCCCGGGGCCTAGACAACGGCTTCCTCTGGTTCCTGATGTGACACGTGGGGATGCCTCGTCCCCCAGTGCCTTTCCCATGATCCTGCCGCCCTGGGTGAGAGGGTCCCCCACCTCTTTCTCGGACCTTGTCTCTGATCCGTCCACGTGCTGCTTATTCGCAGACACCAGGTTCTGACACCCTGTCACCATCTGCCCAGGACCTCACATCCAACTGTGTGACTTTCCCCTCCCGTCTCACCGCTTGTGACCTTGGATATCGCATCTCAACCAGGTCAAGCCCCAAGGCTCCATCTCACCGTAGCCTGTCCCTGTTCCGGCCTCCAGGATATAAACTTAGAGGGGACCCAGGACAGAAGGGTGCCACTTGGCACACTGGGCCCCTCAGTGGCTCCTTGACATGGGGGCTTAAAGCCTCCTACTCCCTCCCTCTCAGCCAGTGAGCTTAGCTCACACTCAGCAGGCCTGCCTCATCCCACTCAGTCCCTCTTCAACTTCCGACTCAAAGGAAGCAGTGTCCCTCGCCCCCACCCCCAAGTCAGGCCAACCCTGTGTTCACCCCACCCCTGCTGGGCTCCTCCGTCCGTTTCCTCCCCGGATTCCCCAGCTCAAGGAATGCTCCCTCCTGTTCTCTGGCTACTTCCTTGGTCTATAGCCATAGCCGGCCGCCTCTGCACGTCCCTCCCCCTCCAGCCCTCCATCATGGAAGCACCGCTGGCATTGTCCATTCCAAGGTCACTGGATCACCTCTAATTACCAAAGCCAGGTTTCTTTTCTCCTTTTCCATTTTCTTGAACCCTGGCTTCCCTCTTCCTAGCAGCCCCAGCTTAGCCTGGTCGCCTTTCTCTCCAGCCTCCCCCTCTTTACTAAGTGCACCCAGTCGGCATAGGCCTGCGGTGTCTGCCCCGAGTCACTCCGCGCTAATGAGCCCTCTGGCCGCACTGCTTCCCCAGAAGAGGGTCTGGGATCCTTGTTCTTGCCTAGACACGGGCTCTTTCACTTGGAGTTATGACCTGAATTGGTAGCTCTGGCCTTGACCTGAATTCGAATCTTCACCTGGGCTGGATGGGAAGGCAGGTCTTGCCAACACCCCAACTCACACTCACTGGACAAGTCCTTCACTATGAGCCTGTTTCCTTCTCTAAGAAAGGGGCTTGGAGGACATGATTTCAAGGGTCCTTCCTTCCAATCCCTCACACCCCTCCCATCCTGCTGCCAACACAGACCTACTTACCTGGTAACTCATTCCTGGTCCAAGACGCTCCCCTTCCCGCTGTCCTGTCTTTCCTGTCATTCGCTAACACCTGCCCCCTCGGCCAGTCACTCCAACCAGTCCCACGTCCCCCTATTCACTCCCTGCTGACCGTCCTCTCCTCACACCCACCCAGCTTCCTGGTGTTCTCTGCCATGCCCTCTCCCTCTCCGACCAGACCCCATCCAGGCAGGCTGATCCGCTTGTGTCTCTAACCATAGTGAGTCTTTTGCTCTTGGTCTCTGACCTGGAATGCCCCTCTCTTTCCACTGAGCCAAACCAGTTAGGGCTGGAATGCCTCTCTTCATGTTTATATTCCATATCCTCTATGAACCCTGTAGTGTAAGCCTTCAGGCCACAGAGTTCTGAGTTCAAATTTAGATCCTGCCACTTTTTGACCTTTGGAGGTACTGGGCCAGAGCTTGCGAACACTCAGTAAACTAGCATTACCACCACCTACACACACACACACACACACACACCCCTGTGAGCTCCCTCCTAGACATTTCAATAGGTTCATTTTCACTAATCTCCCACCGTGGATGGTTCTCTGACTCGCATCCTCATCTCCAGGGTAATTCTGTGGATGAAGCTGCTTAGGGCTCTGCGAGTCACCTCCTCCCTGGGTCCTCACTTTCTGGGGTGGTTTCCCAGAACTCTCGGAGGATCCCTGATGTGGGCGAGGAAACCTGCACATCCTCCCATAGCATGCCGGGCCCTCAGGGGCATGACTACCTTTGTGCCCCTATGAAGCTCTCAAAGGATGGCTGTTGCACCAGGATTTTGGCACCTGGATGCCTCCAACTCCGAGGCAAGAGCTGCAGAGACTAAAGAAGGGGGCCGGTCAGAAAACGGGGGGAGCATGAGGCTCCCCAGAGGAATATTCAATCACTGGAGTGGTCCTCCACTGGAGGAAAGGGCAGACACTGCGCTGGGGTCTGGGTGAAAACAATGAAGCCCCTGTCCCAATAGTGTGGGCACTTCTGCTCTCCACCCACCAGTATGACGTCACCAGGCACAGTCTCTCCATGCTCTGGGTAGAGAGGGCCCTAGGCCCCCAAGCCATAAAGCAGTCCCTTGGGTCCTGGGCTTTCTCCTTGGCATCTTAAGGTCAACACGGATGGTGTGAGCCCCTTCTGTGCACCAGGCACCGGAGGATAAATTAATCCAGTAGCTCAAGTCCCCCAACCTCTCTGAGGCTCATCAGTTCACTGTGAAGGAGGGCTTTTCTACCCCCCTTTTCACAGATGAAATTGAGACTTGAAGAGGTTGGAGACTTGCTCAAGGTCACACAGCCATGAGCCAGGATGAAATCCCAGCCCCCTTGCCTGGCGTGGTCTCTGCTATAGGCCCCACGGACTGGGCTCAGGGCCTGCACGTCTTCCGTGGGCAGGAATCACCACCCATCACTCTGCCCCAGGACTGAGGCAGCTGAGTCCACCCCACCCCCACCCCTGACCTGCAGCTGCTAGACTAGCTAGGCCTTGGCTCCACATCGACCCAGCGTGGCCACTGTGCAGAAACACTGGAGGGAAGAACCGGCTACAGGGTGGGGAGAACCAGGGGAAGGAGGCCCAGAACTGGTAGTGGGGCCTGAGGGAGGTCGGGACCAGAGCCTAACGGCTTCCTCAGCAGGAGTGACCCCGAGGGTGACATCGGACAGAAACAGTGACCACCAACCTCTACTTTCTCCCTTCTCCTGGGAGAAACAGGCAGTGGGCACAGGGGACAAAGGAGCCCGCCATCGCGGTGGGGTTAGGTTGGGATTCCCACCCCCCCCCCCCGCCCCGGGACCCTTAGTTTGGTGCGTGAGGGAATTGAAACGGCTTCCAACTTGGGAAAGGCATGCGTTTGTGGCAGAGCTGACATGCAAGACAAGATGGGGAGGGCCTCGGGCTGAGGAATGGGATGTGGTCAGCTGAGGGCCAAGATGCCTGCTTAGAGCTGGGAACTCAGGAAGATGAGGAACTCTCGGGGGCCAAGGACCATAAGATTGAGCCTCCACTGGAGCTGGCCCAGAAGTCACTCTGGGGATTCAGGAAGGTCTCCCCAACAAGGAACCCGGGACACACATGGTAAGGATGTGCCTCAGTCTTGGAGGCCCAGGCCACAGATTGGGCTTGCTGTGTGGTCCTGGGCATGTGGAAGGAGGGGATCCACACTCCCCCATGCCCAGGGCCCTCCATTGTGAAATGACAAACCCACCTATCCTTTTGGGAGCACATTGGCTCAGGGCTTACTGACTTGGCCCTGGACCATGGCACAGGTGGGGCAGGACAGATGCACCTGGTGCTGTGTGTGGGGAGGAGGAGGGGGAATAGAGGGTCCAGAGGGACCAGTCTCCTCTAGATCCAAGATAAAAGGCAGAGGTGGGGCCAGAGAGGAGTGGGGCCCTGGATATGGAATGCACCTCTCTGACCAGCTAGTTGTATGACGTCGGGAAGCTCCAGCCGCCTCTTGGAGCCTTCGTTTCCCCATCTGTAAAATGAGGGACCCAGTCTCTCCCTCCTGGGTAATTGTCAGGGAATGTCGCATAGTAGGTCCTCATCTCCGAGAGCCCCCTCACCCCTAAGAGGTTCCCAGCGGGAAGGAACAATGGCCTCAGCCTTCCTGAGCTGGATCTGGAGTGGCAGGTGATTGGAAGGGGAGAGTCACCCGTTCCCAGCATTGATGTCAGTGCCTCCCGGGAAATCGCCTTCTCACCTCTCCTGAGCCTGAAATAGAATGAGGGGGGCTGTCACCAGCCGCAGGCAGCTCCCCCATTCCTGTTGGAAAGCAGAGGACCCAGGAAGGGGTTCCCTGCCTCCACTCCTATTCCTCAGTGACCTGTGGTCTCCCAGGGTGGGTTCAAGGAGTCTCTGGCTTTGGGCACAAGGTGCGGGGGGGGGGCGCTCACCGGGGGGACCCACTTCCACCACCTCGACCTCACCTCAGTCTCTGGCTCCTGGGATCCCTAGCAGTGGTCAGAGATCCCAGCCCCCAGTCAGGGACCCATGTTGCCCAGGGCCCCAGTAGCTGGGCTGGGGGTGCAGGGCAGTTCCAGTGGGAGGTTGGTAGGGCAGGTGGTTGGCAGGCGAGGCAACCTGGTCTGGCTAGAGAAGGAAAGCTGGGGGGCTCCACAGGTATTTCTGCTCCTCAAAGATCTGGGCTGACAGGGAGGGGCGAAATGGGGCATGACAGCAGCATGTGAATGACCTGGCCAGTTATAGGATGTTTGGGGGGAAGGACTGCAATGCCCGTGTGAGGGACTCGGGGGGCATCTGTCCGGGTGGCTCAGGGACAGCAAATCCTGGAGCCCTCCTGGAGGCAGGGTCCTCTCTGAGCGGGAAAAGGCGCCTGTGGATGGGAAGGGATCTGGACCAAGGGTGGGGAGGACTCCACAGGGACCGGCTCCGCGAACCTGGGCCGGGGACAGCCACGCCCCCGCATCTCCATCTCCCAGGTCCCCAGACGGCGGGTCCCCAGGTCAG